TGTTTTCACTTTTAAACTGGTCAAAGTATTCAATCAAAAAGACAATTTTAATTTCACTTTTCTCACAACAATTGAAGTTGAAAGGGAAAAGTTGAAAACTTTACCAAAATTTTCTGTCAACTGAGAAAATTTGAAAATTCTGTTACAATTTTCATGAGTTGGGAATGATGCTAATGGTCATCATTACTGAGAAGTAATTAGATGAAAATTGAAATATGAATATCTAGTTGCGTGTATTTATAAATCACGAATTGAATGAGTTTTATTTGCATATTTTTTTTACTTTTGTTTTTCCACTTTTCATTATCAGAATTTTTCCTTTTCTCAGAACTTTATTTTGTCTGATGAAGGAATGAATTTATTCATCTCTGAATGAGTTGATTTATCTCTTCAGTTAACCATAATGATGATGAAGGCAAAAAGGTTATAAATGAACGGAATGGAAGTTGACCCTTTTTTCATGATAAAGAATCTCTTTTTTGTTGAGGGAATGAAAATCGTGGCCGATGAGCCACGATAGTCCAAGATCAATGTCCGACAATGTTTACTCAAGTCTTATTTTAACAAATGGTAACTCTTGAAAAGGTTAACCCTTTTCACTGTTGAACTTTTTTTCTCATCATTTCATCACTACATCATCATCAATACTTTCAGTAGTCTGTAGACTCATCATCTTAACATCAATTTCACAACCTTATTCACATGAAAGTTAATAGATGAAAAAAAAGAGACTCACCAAGAATATCATAATAAACATTTCAACGTTAACTTAATTGAAAGCTCAACTCAGAATTGAATTTTAATAATGGTAATGATAATGTTAATGATGATGATCACTGTAATTGTCATTGAATATTTACTTGTTGATATTTTAATCAAGCAAACTTATTTTTACATATTCACTTTGCTCAATATTTGCATTTCTCAATGAAACTCAATTTTCAATTTACTTTAGTCAACTGAGCATCATTATCATCACTTACCGTTAGTTGAACTTTACCATTACAATTATTGTACAATCACGAAAATACAATTTCCAAATCAAGCTCACAATGAATGTTGACATTTCACTGAACAATAAGTCAACAGGTTCACAAATAGCAACAATGATTATTGATCAAATCTCATCATGAAAATTTATTCATTTAATTTGCAATTTACTACCAAAGACGTTCAATGTTGTTGGCAATTTTTACAGACTTTCAAGTTCTCTGAAGATGATTATTATGATATATTAATGATCCTTCTGATGAAGATAATGATGAAAATAGTGATGATAATGATGACCTGACCTTGCTCTTGAAAATCATTCAAGTTTCTCTTTCTCTTTCTCTTTGAATTTCATGATTAAAATGATGATAAATGTAGGGGTAAACAAATTGCCCAAATAAGTGCAAAGCTTCGTAACTTATGATTAAAAGCACGTTTAACGATGATAATGATGACGAGTATCCTTTCTTGTTGCTTCATTGGTTTAACGTAATTAAAAGGTGCAATCAAAAAAAGCTACAAAAACCAACTTTGCAAATGCAAATTATTCCAGTTAATCAATCGTTTGTGTTTTTGTTGTTGTTTACCTACATTTGTTCATTAACTTGAACTAAAATTGGAAACATTATTATTGTTTATCAACCAATTGAAAGCATTTGAAACCATTAAAATTATCAATATTGATGTTATACTTTTCAACATTGATGATACCGTTTATGATGCCCAAACTGTTGATTACCTTAATCAACTAATTAGAGTTAACTGCTTATTATCGAGGCCACATGATTTCATTGCTTATCAAATCAACTTTCATGGTTAATCGAGTTTGATAGTTTCACCGTCTGATCAACTTTTGTCAAAAATTCAATTTCCAATCAAGACACCATTTGAATATCAAATGAAACCGTAATTTTTCAAAGCAAACATTTCTAAATTGAAATCAATTTCAATTGTAAATAAAACATTTTTCACCATTAACCTAACCTAGTAACATTGACAGTTTGATTGGTAACTTGAGGGCAATTCAAACCCATGTTATTGATGAAAAGCTGAAAACTGATTAACTGTTTACCCTCACAATAATTAAAAACTAGAATAAAATTATGTAAAAATCTCATTGTTATTAATGATACAAGTTGATTAATGATCAATGCATTTAATTGGAAATGTTAATTTTGATTGGAAAAGTAAAAAGTCACAATTTCCAGTTTTTTGTTCAGTTGAATGTTTCATTTGCATTTGAAATTTATTGATGGTAATTTCAATGGTTCACTTGATTTTTTGATTAATAATTTGATTAAAGTTTTCTGATTATCAAATTTTTCCATTGATTCATTTATTCACAATTTGCTTCTTCCTTCTTCTCACCATCAATTGTGAATCTATGATTGGATTCAGTGGCGCGTTGATTTGGCAAACATTTGAAGCAACCCTTTCGATAATCAATAACATTTTCATCTTTCCCGATTCTTCCATCTTTTTTTTGCCATCCATTTCAATTGAACAATTTTCATGAAAAGTTATATTCACTCAGCTGAGGTAACATCACACAAAAACTTGTTACCGTCTCAAAGTCAAGTTTAACTGTTATCATGAAAGAGACAAATCAATCTCTTTCTATTTACATGCTTCACAAACTTGAACCATTCTTGCCATTTCATCAGCATTTTCAGTAAAAACTCAAGATTATCGGTTGATGCATTTACCTGAATTTTGTCGAATCGTATTTCGGTAAAAATTGAAGGTCGCTAAATGCTCACCCTCAGGGTTAATTGGAAACACAATTAACTATTGAATCAATTGTCAAACCTCATTTTAATGGATGAATGTTTATTGCTTTTGCAAAAACAACTTTTAATCAACTTTTTGCAAATTTACTTTTCCACTCAATTTGATGAATTAATTTGCAAAATTAAAAGCAACTTTTCAATTTGTATCATTTACTTTTGATGTTTTAATCAATTGAAGTTGAATTATGTTTCCTCAAGTTTATCAAAAAGTCATCTTGTGAAAATGAATTTGTCTGGAAAAGTCAACTTTATCATGAGTCTGGTTTGACCTCAACTCAGCATGTCATTAAGACCAAGGTTAGGTCTTTGGTTAAGTCACTTTTTTGCACTTAACTAGAGTTAAAAATCATAATCATGTGAAATGAGTTGATGAAAAAAAAGAGAGCCAAGAATAAATGAATTTCTCAAAGAGCAGTGAAGAGGATGATGATGATGAGAAGGAGGAAGCAAAATATGATGATTAATATAGAGGTGGAAGAAAGGCAATTGAAAAATGGTGATGAAAGGATAAAAATTGTGACAACTGGAAGAGTCACAGTTGAGTTGAGAATTGGTTTGAATAGAGTTTTGAATAAATGATGAATTCAAGTAGTAATGTTTACTGGAGTGACCAATGCATGATGATGATGAACACTCACAAATGATGTGTTGAATTTCAATTGATTGTTGACATCATTTTTCACCATTCAAATTGCTCTTTATTAACTTGATCAATATTGAAAAGGAAGAAGAAGAATCGCAAAAAAAAACAAATTCCTTTTTCAATGTAAAGGATGAAATTAATATCATCTTATTATGTTGCAAAAATGTTACCTTTAATCAAGTGACACTTGTTACAAGTCGAGTACATTGTTCCGGTTAGCTTTTCATTATGATTACTTCCTGTGGCCGAGTTATCAGCGCAACAAAAGTGTCGACCCAATGTTGAAGCTCAAATTTCACTTTCAAAAGTTTAGTTACCGTGTTAAACAAAGGTCCATTCAAAGGTTCACAAGTTTCCCATTTTTTATCAGATTATATTTCATTCTGTATCATCAACATGATGTAAAACCTACGCAAAATCATTTGATTTTGTTTGAAAAAATGGTAAATTTTAATGTCAAATATGGACAGTTTAAGATGAGGTTCAAGTGAAAGTAATAGAGATGAAATTGTTTCAAAATTTGAATAAAATTGAAAAAAAGGAAAATTGAGATTATTTTGAAAGTCGATGAAAAACAGGGGAAAAGGTGAATCTAAGTACAGCTTGAGGGAACAAGGTAAAGATGAAGGAATGTTAGTGATTTACAGTAAGAAGGTTGAACTAGGGATAAGAAGGGGATTCAGAAACTGGATAACTTGAGATAATGAAATTTTCATGTTCTCTTCATGCAACGTTGCAACATTGAGTAGGAATTGACTGGCTTGGTACTGCTTCAACTCAAACCCGTTGACTCTCTTCCGAATAGTCCGTTATTCCCTCTCTTGAATTTCATCTCCATTCTTCCTTTTCTTCTCATTCTTTTCCCTCTTCTTCTCTCATCTTCTTCTTTTTTTCATTCTTACCTCATCTCATGTTCACCTCAACCCCAAACCTATTATCAGTCAGCTTTCTCAAGACACTCAAGCACCGAAGTTACCTGATCTCTCTTCTTAAAGACTCCCGACTCATTATCATTTTGAGTCTTCATTTTCAACTCTACTCTCAACTGTATTTGTTGTAAAACTGTTATATATATTTATGCATAAAGTAACATTTGAAAGCACGATTATCAAGCAAATTGGTGACAATTAGTTTTTAATTTTGTGGCGATAAATTTTATTGTTATTGTTGTTGGTAAACTTGTTATCTCCATCATTATCATCGTCAACATCTTCACCATCAATCCAAGTATTGTCCTCTTTATCCTTTATCACATCAGCCAACGAACAGCAAACCAAACCTTTCGAGTTGTCAACGACAACAATCTCTCTCGCTCTCACTCTACCTTTTTGTTTTATCATCATTCATTTTTTGTCTCACTTTAAATGTTACTTGAATGTGTCGCGATCAACGGACTAAAGTCAATTTAATACATTTTCACATTCATCATGTTTACATGTTTCTTTCAATTAGTTAATTTGTTACTCTGATTTAACTTATTTCAACTCATTTATCCATTTGTGTCTTACTGTGCTTCATTCATTGTAACTTCAATTGTTGCTCTTGACTGATAAGTTGCCTATTCTCATCTCTATCAGGTTTCAACTTCAGTGTTTCAACCTTTCACTATTCAATGTGCTATAAAACCATAATCCCATGGATGATAAAAACACTGTAACAACCTTAATTGGTAAGTTAATTGTCCTTAGAGGTCAACTCATAGTCAAGTGTCTTCCAATGATTCGTGAAACAATTCAGTCCATATGTAATGATAGTTTTTAGTGCAAGTTGCTTCAGCTCATCATTTAGTTTTTGTGTTAACAATCGAAACTGAAATTGCAAATGTTGATTTGATTCACTTTCAACTCGTATTCCACCCACAGTGCAATCATGTAAAACGCCGAACACGAACCATTTTGAACAATTGTTCAAATGAAGCCAACTAATGATAACAGTCCCACACAAATCAATTACAATATACACATTTATGTGTGTCCATTGTTTACCAAAATTTTCATATAATTTCAACTTCATTATGTTAATCAAGTTTAAATTGTATAAAAATGAAAAATAGTTACCAAAAATAGTTGAACCCAACAAAATGAAACCTAATAAACCGGATAAAAACTTCACAGTTAATATTGAAATCTGTAGCTAAAAGTATCAGTTCTTTGGATTATCCATTTTGATTGAAAAGCATTTCATGAATCTATTAACGCGCCAAAAAAAAGTGAAGAAGCAACAATTATGTTACATTATCAATGGTTTCATGCAGAGATGAGATGAAACCTTTGACCATCTTGACATTTATCATAATTGATCCAAAACTGTTTAACATAATTGACCTTAACAATGATCAGGTTATCATTGTTATCAGATATAAGTTACCCGGTCAGTCCTAACCCTCAGAAAGGTCATAAAATTGAAATATTTAAAAATAATATCAATAGCAATAATAGTGAATATAAAATACAATTTACTTTTTGTTTCGCTTTCAAACTGTAAAGATATTGAATAATGTATCATTATCATTTATCACTATAATCATATTGATTTCAATTAATTTAATTTATACTTGGCAACATTTTCTGTGCCATGTTTTTTCACTCCATTCAATTGAACAATCAGAAATACGATCATTTAGGTAAAACCATTTTAAACAGTGTTTATTTGTTAGATCGTTAAATATCATTCATTTGATTGCTCACCTTTCAAATCGTGATTAGCAACCTTCAATTGATTTTTACTCTTAAATGCATTTCTCTTCAATTTAACATCTTCAGCCAATTCTCATCTATTTTTCATCCCCTTCATCAACCATCATCATCATCATGATGATAAACCATCTTAACCATTGTTGATGACCTACAATAACATGTTATCATCATTAAAAATGTATCAATGAACAAAATAAGAGAAACTTGGTGATCGATTCAATCTTTTTCAATCATTCATGATATCTGTTGCCTTTCCATATAATTTCATGTAACAATAATTCAAAGTTATCTTTCCACTTCTATTTATATTATCAAATTGGTCAATCAAAGCAACCAGAAAATCAATTTTCAGTAAAAGACAAATCATTGATATTTGACTCTCTTTTTGAAATACAAAACCTTTAAGATTCAATATTTACCAGTTTTCTGGTCCAATCTTGTCTAATGTTTGAAACAACAAAAATTGGATTCCATGATAATAACGATGATATGATGATTCTGGTTTTGTTTCAATAATAAATGATGCCTTTAAGGTTTTTACCTTTTCTTTTAAATTAACCTTTGCACTCAGGTTTACGCCATTTTCTGGAAAAGGCATTTTCTTGGCAAACTTTTTGACGTTGATAAAGGTTGATAAATGCCAACTGTTTAATGTTGAATTGATCATCATCATCATTCCTTTCATTGATTCATTACAACCTTTTCTTGTTCATCTTTCTTTTGCCTTTTCCCTCTTGAATAACGATAAATTGCTGAGCGAAATGATGCTGAAATGGTGTTTAAATAATGATTGTTGCTTGATTGGAAGGGAAAATTGTTTCTTGTTCATTTCGACATCAACAAAAGATTCAGTTTTTACTCAATCTCTTACCATTATTATCATTATTATTTATTATTATGGTGAAACTAAAGATGAACAGAAAACAAATAAAAAAACTTTGCTTTATTTAACGTATTGTTTACCCTTTAAGTGTACCTCAACCTTCACCTGTAACTATGAATCTTTTCTTACCTTTTCTTACCTTTTCCACAAATTTACTTTAACCTGTTCTTTTTAGCTTTAAACTTTTTCCAAAAAAATAACATTCTTTTTTCATCTTCATCCTCGATATTCATGTTATTAGATTAATGAGCTTTCTCATTTCAATTTTTAAACTTTTTTATCTTCTATTCATGAAAAGTGAATCAAGCTGAGAAATGAAACTTTCACCATCAATTGATTACCTTTCAATTGAATCAAAAGTGTCTGATTGATTCTTCAAATGTTTAATCTTAATTTGATTTGACATTTTTTTCCGTCCTTTTCTCACAATTTTAAACTGTTTTCAGCTTTTTTTTCATCCAATTGAGGTGAACATTTGAGGTGAAAAAAAGGTTAAATCAATTGTCGATAGCATTTGTTGTATTTGAAGATTCATCTAAAAATAAAATGCAATTTTTCGGTTCATCTTTAAAATTAATATTTAAAGAAACACTTTTCATTTAATTTGATTTAATCCTTTTTTGTCTCAACTCTAATTAATGTTATTAATCTTATTAAACACTTTTAATTTCAATTGAATCTGTTTTATCCTTTCATTTGCTCCATTTAATGGAAAATGATTTACAGTGATTTACATTTATTTTTAAAATGGTTAAATGGTGACCACTAGAAGTATGTAAATGCAAAAATTTAGGTTATCATGAATCATTTTGCAAATAGATTGTGTTCAGTGTTTATAGCAATTTTCATTTTCATCACGTAATTCAGTCACCAAGTTGTTCGTTGATTAGAAATGAACAAAATTTTTGACTTTTTCTCTCTTCTCTCTACACTTAAAAATATTCAATGGACCAGAAAAGGATTATTTGTGTCTTTACATGTTTAAGCTCATTTATCATCGTAATTGAAACAAGATGATGATAAAGACGATTACGACCATCTTCACGTCCCATCAAATGTGAGATGAGAAAATGATGATTGAAGATTCACTGTAATTATAACGTTTAATTGATTGTTGATATACGTTCAACTCAACACTTAGATTCGTTGACGTTGAAATTTGTGTCCAAAAAAAATGATAAAATTTAAATAGCATTTAGATTCGCAAGTAAAATGAAAATTTCAGTTGAAGAGATGACAGAAGCAAATTGTGCTTATTTTGATTATTGATTGTTTCATCGTAATTCAATGTTAACCGTTTATTGTCTGAAATTGTTTCAACTGATTGAAGTGTAAATATTTAAATGGCAAACAATAAACTTTGTCTTTTCAAATTGTCTTTTTGTCTTTCCTTTAAACAATTTAACTTTTTAAATTTTTCTTGATTTTTCTTAATTTTTCTTGTTTCTCTTTGTTTTTTTGTTACCTTTTGTCATGTTGACATTGCAGCTTCAGTTGACACATCATCTATCATAGAGAATAAAAAATCAACAAAAGAGTATTGGGAGAAACGAATGATGGCCGAAATGGGCGATTCAGCTGTTGTCGTTGATCAATTGTTGATTGACACTGAACTAGTTAAAATGGCATCAACACCAAATGGTAATAATAAATGTATAAAAAGGTTAATTTCATCGAATCCCAATTCACCTAAAGGATCGTCCAGCCCATCAATGCAACAATCTCCTGTAACTGGGCCAACTTCACCTTCCCTTATGATGAGCCTAACCTCATCTCAAGGAGCAACCGAGAAACAGTCCAATGGTCAATATCATGGTATCTCATCAAGTAAACTGGGCTCTGATGGTGAGAGTGAAGCTTCACCCGAGTGCAGTCTATCACCGGTTGAGGTTGACTCACTTGAAGGTAAATATCACGTAACTTTACAAAACTTTATTGGTCAATGACAACATTTACTCGCCAATTTAAAAGACAAAATGTTACATTTAAAAGGTTACCTTGACGTTACCAACCAACCAGATAAACACGAGTTTGAAAATTTGTGCGAAAAAATTGAAAAATCTTTTTCTAATTGCAAGTTAAAAGGGTCAGATTTACATGAACACTAATTCATGGCTTTGACTAACTGCTCTTTGATCATCATGAGCAACATTTCGCATATTGTACATGTTGATGCAAAAAGGTTGTGAATATGAAAGTTGAGGTAAACCTTTCAGGTTGTTGAATATTGATGGTTGGCTGGTTGTTGAATATTAAATTATTACATCAATGAATAAGCTGGTAATAAAATTGATATTAAATTTGTGTCTTTTTTGCCGCAAATCCACTTTGTCTATCAACAGTTATCTAGTTGAGTTGATACAGTTAATGTTCAGTTTCCATTTAATATGAATACAAATTTGACGAAAAAAACTTGTTGAATTGAAAATGATTTGCACAGTTAACTTCAGTGATTTGTTTCTTTAGCCAAGTTTATTTGTTAATTGTGGAAAGGTCAATAACTCAAAGCTAATAGTTCCGGGTTGTGCATTATTGATGACAGTTGAGCAAATCTATGTAAAAATAAAATCAACTTTTCAAGACTAAAGTTGATTAAACAGATTGGCTCAAAATTGTCACTTTGTCTTTCAACCAACAACTGTAAATTGAATCATGAAAAATTCAGGTTAAACCCGTATGATTATTGGTTAGTTTTTTGATTCCAGCCGATGACAAATCATAATGAATAGCAATAAAAGATCGTCATCATTCTGATCATCAATCATTGACCCAATTAAAGAATCGTAATAATCTCACGATAAAAATCTCATTTAATGTTGATTAAAATTCATTACAAGTGATGAAAATGGTCAACATGGTTTCAGGACAAAAAGTGAAGCAAAATTGTTGGAAGGTAAACATGGACAGAGAAGGAAAAAAAGGATGAAAAGAAGATGATGAAGAAGATGAAAATTCAAATGAAGTCTACAGACAGGAAGCTACTTGGTGTGGATGAGAAGAAGAGAAATGAAAACTTCTGAAATGACTTTGCAATTTAAACACTTTTCATTGAAATTGAAATGATAAGTTAGGTTAGACAATAGATCAACTGCCGTTTGGGATTGTTCCGTTTGATACAATGATACAGGTAAAGATGGTGATAAAGAAAGTCAGAATAGGTGGATGACAAAAGAAGGGAAAACAATTGAAATGTCAAAGAAAAAGGTTGTTCCATCTTGAAGGATTAACAAGAAACTTACTATCAACTGATGAGGATAACTTGGTGTGTACATTGAAATGACCTTTATTACTGTCAAACAATGTTTCCATTATCTTGAGATTATAAATTTTCACTCTAACTGGTTACAGCAATTTGTCTTCATCATTTTTGTAATAACACTTGTTAACCATGTGAGCTGACCTCTGGTCATTTTTTACCTTTTCAAGTTCATCTTTAACTTTCCCATCAAAAAGTTGCACTCACAATAATTATGATGAAGACCATAATTTATCTTGCAACAACCAAAACGGTAACATTTAATACTTGAGAAGCAATTGAAAAATTCGGAAAAAATAAATTTCTTTACCAACAATTATCATGAAAAAATGGTGTTTAATTGAGGTTTTGTTGTCTTGACATTTGTTTCAATAGAAGGTGAAAATTTGTTGAATTTGTGCTAATGTTAATTTTTAATCATTTTTGTTTTTTTCTTGCTTTTAAAGGAGGAAGCAGTCGAGACTCGTCAACCTGCGATCGACGATCATCGCCTGATTATGTTAACTGTACTCATGGTGTGGATGATGAGGAAGATGATGGTGTTGTTGCAGATCATGAAGGTTTCCGTGAGTGTGACTCAAGTCCTGATGCTGGTATATCAGGTTGTCGTCCGGTTGGTTATGAATCAAACTCGCTGTCTCCTGAAATGTTAATGGCCAACAGCAAGACAACCAGTAAAGGTGGCAACATTAATCACAGGCGGACTCCTTCATCATCATCATCATCATCGCCATTACCGTTATCATCACCAGTCATTGGCCAGAATCCAAAGTCTTGTTTATCTTCTTCTTGTTCACCAGTTTCATGTTCATCTTTACCATCTCCACCTTGCTTGTCATCTTCACCTTTACCGCACTCAAATGAAACCGTTTCATCTTCAACACCAAAACCATTAAAGTCGTCGACGTCTCTTGAAAATGGCCAACACTGTGAACCACAATCAGATAACGGTTATCATGCAACTGAACCCGATTCATTAGAAGAGTTCATTAAACATGAAACTGAATGTGCTCAACAGTCCAACATTGACCCCAATTGTGACACTCATAAAAGTCAACCTGATGATTGCCCTTCTCAGCTGATTATTGATTCCCTTACAGACAGTGGTTTATGTCAAAATTTATCATCATCATCATCAGACGCTTTTGATGAACCATCATTGCCAAAATCATCTTTAAATGATCAACTCATTGAAAATGTAACTTCATCATCACTCTCATCCATTAGTGATTATAATAAAATAGATAGTGGTGTGAATCAAACTGATGATTTACTATTGATTGTTGATTGTCCCAACGATTCCAAGGGAAACAATCTGATGACCAATTTGGATTCATCATCATTACCCTTAGCTCCTTCAGGTTTACCCTCGTCTTCATCTTCTTCTCACAACATTGTCTCCAACAATAATCAAAATAAATGTTTCCCAACTCATTTTTATGTTAATAACGCTGATAATAATAATGATGATGATGAACATGTTGACGATGATTCAGTTGATAATGTCACTCAAAATGATAATCATGATGTGCACAATCACCAAAAGAACGATATTGAGATAACTTCCACCATTGAAGGTTCAGCTTTAGCTAAAGGTAACTAAACTCTTTTACCACATTTTGCTTTCAACCAGCATAACTTTACCCAATATTTTGCTTCTTTCTTTCACTAAATTTAACCGTTTTTTTTGCTCTCTTTCCTCTTTTAGGTATCAATTGTGGTGATGGTATTGATCGACCAACTATTATTGGACAATTGGCTAAACCTTCGGACAATGAAACAAATGGATCAATGTTGATTAATGAGGAAAATATTATTGAATTGAAATCATCTTCAACTTCACCCAGAGATAGTAAACTGTCTCTTGTCAATGATCAGCCAGTTTCAATGTTGGTCAATTACGATGAAAGTGAAAGATTTGATTATCAACCTTCACCTTCTGATGAAGCCAACAACTTGCTGCTAATTAAATCTAATCAACCACTCAACTGTTCAATTGAAACATGTTCTAAATCGTCTTCACCCGCTGCTTCCCCTGCAACCTGTTTACGTCCCTTGGCTGGTATTGTGGGTAAACAGACTGGTAAAATTGTACGCCGTGAATCTTGTGGGATAATTAAATCATCGGCTGAATCAATGATTGCCGAAGAGATTCGCCAATTGAAGGAACGAGAAGAGGAACTTGCTCGAATGAGATTGGCAATGTCTAAACAACAGTCGACCGTCGAGGGTCACCAACAATTGAAAGGAGGGTCAACTATGTCACCATTATCAGTCTCTTCAAGTTCACTTCATCTTACCAATTCTTCAGCTCATCACCACCAACCTGGACACCATTCGGTCAACTCTCATATTCACCATCAACTGGGTAAATCAACACCATCACATTGTTCATCCATTGATGGTAAATCAAGTCCAGCTCTATCTGATCTTTCCTCTTGTTCCGTTGGAACCATTTCCAATGATTCAATTGATCCAGTCCCATCCAAGCCAATTAGTCTGGAAATATTGTCAAGCAAAGTTTCCGGATTGCTCGGTGAATCTCCAATTGAACGAGAGATTCGCATTTCCCGAGAACGTGAAGCCGAATTGAAGGCTCAAGTAAACTTGACCCGATCCATGTCCAACTCGATTGTTACCAATGATCAACATTTATCAACAATTCAACAGCAAACAACAGTTAACCAATCCAAATCAATGGTCGTTAACCTGACTGGCAAAGAAGGCCTTACCAATGGTAATCCTGGTGCAGTAAATGGTGATCCTATTGCACCGTCTAATGGTCCACTGAGTAAATCATTGTCAGTAGATGAAACAATTGTTACCTCAGCAGGAACCAAGTTGCCCGTTTTCAAGCAAAACAGTTGTGGTGCGGCAAATGCGGCTGATATCCAGAAACTTTTGGCAACCACTCGAATTCAGCAGGAAATTGAAGAGCAAACCCAACGCGAATTGGCTCTAAAAGCAACCGGATCAATTAAAACAATCTCACAAGAAAGGACTGATATTGAAAAGGCTGGGTCAACTTACTCATCCATTACTCAAATCAATACAGCTTCAAAAGCAGCAACAACGTAAGTTGCACTTTTGTCACAACAAACACCTTTGCAAATAACATTTACAATTGAAACTATTGTTTCAACTCTCACAACTCAATTTACTTCTTCTCCGATTCCCATACCAATTAACAACAATTTACTTGAATTTACATTGAATTTAATCTTTACTTTTAAACCCTTCAACTCTAAAAAGGTCAATCAGTTTGCACTTTTCTCATCCATTTAACCACAATTTGTAGTAAGAAATGTTTCTAATTGAAACATGATGGAAATTAATATCATCAGAAATTTGTTTTCTTCTCAATTTACATTAACCTGATTTATTTTTAAATCTTACAACTTTATTTCAATCTAATCATGATATTCAATTTCCAACTTAATCTAATCATAATCCTTAACCAATATGATTTTTTGGTCGCTATTTTGAACAATTTGCCAGTTGAATAAGACAAGTGTATCAAAAAGATTGCAATAATTAACTTGATTTTCTTCACAAATAGCACTTTTAAATGGTAATCATTAAGCAACCCAAACGTTAAATGATATTAATTAGTCAAAATTTCACATTTACCTGTTTACTTTGAAGGAATGTGAAACAAAAATTAGTCCTTTTCTCACGAAATGAATTATTATCATTGAATAATAATGTTCAGATTGAAATCTTTGAAATTCAATAATTCATTTCATTATATCAGCCAACTTTATCTCAACAATTGACCCTCTGCATTGAAAACACACACAAAAGTAAACTTTAACCTACTTATTAGTAAAATAGAGTTGGAATGATCATGGAAAATGAATGTTGGACTTTAATAATGAACTGAACATTGACAAGCAACAAACAAAACCAAAAGAAGGACAAACAAAAATTTAATGATGAAGATAATTGTCCCAAAAAATTGAAACTCTAATGAATACAATTTAACTGCTCTTTATGATTTCAATTTTTGCCAACCAAAATAGATTACAATTACATCTTATTCAGGTTAAAATCATCTTTATTTAATTATCATCACCATAATAAGATTACATCGACATTACACTGACCTTAAGATTGTCATCTGAATGGATCAGAAAGACATTAAAGTAAAGCGAAAATTCAATGTAAAATGAAATGTAAAACCCAATTTAAACCCAAATTAACCTTCAATCTTTTATCGAATTTTTGAAATGTAAAATTTGAACAATTAACTAATTTGTTTTTTCTTGCTTTCTCAATAGTTTAACAAGTAAACCAGAGGAACTTCAAACTGCCAAAGCCATTGAAACTCCTTCATTATCAGGTCATAATGGATTATCAGGGAATGTTTCAAACTCTATTGGATCATCATTTTCATCTTCACTGGTTAACCAGTCTAATCAAGTGAACCAAATAAATAATATAAATACTGAAAATAATAGTAATTATAATATAAGCATTATCCAATCAAACAAGCCAACGCCACCATTGCCACCACCAGCACCATCATCCGTATCATCGTCTACATCTTTTTCATCTTCCCAATCATCTTTATCGTCCTCTTCGTCTTCTTCGGGTGCAACAATAACATCAATTAGACGAACTGGTTTTCAACCTTTTATGAAAAAAGGTTTAACCAAAAGCATTTCAATGCACAAATTTATCTCCTCCAAAGGTAAAACTGCAACTCCAACCGGTAATCCAACTTCATCTGCTTTCTACCCATTGGCCTCACCAGGCGACCTTTACAATGGTGACCTACGACCACCCATTATGGTTAAAGGTGATAAAGGATTTCGTCGAGGTTCAGTTTCAGCTGAATCCAAGATTCAAGAAGAGTTGAAGGAGATGAAGGCTCGAGAAGAGGAATTGAGGTAAGAAATGAAAAGCCAATGAATACAATAAAACCTTTCAATCTTCACTTCTTTTCTCCTCCTGAACCAACTTCAAGTTGTAATTTTTTCTCAATATTTTGCTGAATCTTCATTACAATTACTCTAATTAGTTGAACCTCTTTTTCATCTTGAATTGCTACTTAAAATTATCAAAAGTAATTATATTTACCTCTTAATATTAGCATCATATTTCGCTCTTAATAACCAGTAAAAGATTAGCTCAACCAAATAGAGAGAGAGTGAAATGATTGTAAATCTGAATCAATATAATCAGTTAATCATGCTCTAAAAGACCACCCAATGATGTGGAATAAATTTGTGGTTCCAAAATGTAATTTGGTTATTTGAGTTGTTGCATGAGAGGTAAAAGATGATGATTCAGGTGATTCCTATTGATCAGTCAACTTGATGAAGGATTAGATGCATAAAAATGTACAGCTAAATACAGATGAAGATGAATGTAATGCATTTGAGGTAGAAACATTTTCTGGTTAAAAAAAAACGGTGAAATCGTTTTTTCTTACCAAAGTAGCAATTGAAACATGATAATCAATTGACATAATCAAATTAACGTGTTCAAACCTTTAAAATTCATTTTTACCCTTTTCTCTGATTCGCTCGATAATGTGATTAATCAAATGAATTATTTACATTTGATTGAATAACATGAATTTATTTTTATAAATTTGTAGCAAATTTGACAAAAAAAGGTTTTTTTTCAAGTTTCATTTTTCACGATTCAATCAATGATTTAAAGTTGCTTCTAATATTACAGATTGAGTTTTGAACGGTAAAGTTGAATAATGAATTAGATTATCAAAGTGTTAACTATTAATTACGTTTTGTTTGTCTCATCAAAATGATTAACTTTTAAAATTAATAAATGATTGATGGTTAAAATGAGCAAGAAAGGTTTACTTAGCAAATGTTCACAATTTAACCTCTCAATTTGGTTAAAAGGTTGAAGTGATCAATTCATCACAATTGTAAAGGTTAACAAATGAATAAATGAACAGCAATTTAAATTCATTTATCCTCCTACAAATGATTAGTTTGATTCAACATTGAACATTGATTAAAGCTTTTAAATTATGTTGTTTCAAGTGTAATTAATCACTTTACCTGACCAATCTACAAGGTGGCCAATGAGTAAATTTTAATTCTGTAATCAGGTTTTAACCATTTGAATACTTCTGCTTACGGCAAGTCACGATAGCTAATTTGATTGATTTACTTTGATCAATAAATTTAAATTAACCATTTTTGACAATATTGATTTACAATCAGAAGATAGTTTAACCATGAAATCTTGATTCTGTCCAATTGTTATTTAAATTGGTTTGATAAGTTTATTGACTTCAAAGCGTAATTCAATGTTGACAAAAATATTGAACCATTCAGTGTTTAATTGTAGTTGACAATGAATTTGTTTGTATTTTTACAATTGAATTGAACAAAGCAGGATTATCATGATCAACTTGGAAAATTATTAGACCAAGAAAATTTGAATTAGTAAATTAATCGAAACCGGTAAAACATTTTCTGCTTTTCTTGATTGGTTAATCAGACATTTCGATCACTTGTGATATCTGATTTCAATTTCAACTTTGTATTACAATATTTAATTGTGAACATTGTCTTGATAACAATAATGATCAAAAATGCCTTCTTTTTCCCATTCCTCAATTAATATTATAATTTTGTGTAGGCCTTTGGGTTTGGCTTTTTTACCCAATTGTTTGATTCACTTTGAGCTTGCAGGTTACAATAAAGCATCACAAAACTTGAGGTTCAATTGTAAGTTACTTTCACTTGATTGAAATGAATATCCAACAGAGTGAACTGAACAATCTGATTTAAAGCAAACCATTCCCATTAAGTCCATTTGAATGAGAGAGAAAAAAGTGATTCTATTATGATTTTAATTTCACTTTCAATGTATAGTGATAAACCATTTATTAAGTGTTGTTTACTCATTATTTGATTTGTAACTTTAATGATATTGTATCCAAATCAGTTTAAATAGCTATTTTGTCAGCCCTATTCATTAATTTTTACATCTCATGGTGAATACTGTATGATAACAGTGAAAGTTTATGAATCTTTTTTGGGTTTGGTTTTCAACAATTTTTATATATATATTTGAATGATATAAACGCCTAATTAAATTGATGTTGTATTGTTGTTAATTTCATCCGAGTTGATGTTGCTTGATGCAATTTAAATAATAATTAACCTCACCTGAGGCGAGTCTTGTTGATAAAGATTCAGTTTTCCTCTTTTTGCTTGACAACCTAATCATTTTGCTATCAAATTTCAATCCAATAACGTTTTTATTGTTTATGAATAAAGATTGATTGTCAAAACCCAAATTTTGAAGATCTTGTATTACGATATTTAATTATAACAATTGATATTCACTGTGTAATCAAGTCTTTTAAAGATGAGTGTGTTTTGTGATCAATTGTTTTCATGTTACTTGATGGTCAGTATTGCTGGTGCTTCACTTACTGTATTTGGTTCAGTATGTTTTGAAGTAGAGATGATTATATTTCTTAATTTTAATCAAATTTTGTTTCCTTTTTTTGATATTATTTTCTTAGACGGCAACGAGCCAGATTAATGGGTCTCTCGCAACCTAATTTGGCTCTTATTGGTAGAGATGATGATGAAGAAGGTGATGAGGATAATGGTACCATTAATGGTAATGATGGAGATGACAATGCTGGTCAAACTGTTGGTCTAAATGGTTCATTGTATGAAGTTGATGCGGGCTTGAAACGGACAACAAGTAACCCAAATATTTCACATGAATATGATAAAAAAGTAAGTCTTTTCATTTTAAATCAAAGTCAATTATTAATTTTATTGTTTCCTTCTTTCATCAGGTGTGCCAACCATTTGGAAGCAATTCAAAGCCTCGGAAAAATCCATTAATTGCTCAATGGGAGAAGAAGATAATCAAGGATAATCCAAATTAGGAACCAAATTAGGAAAATTGCAAGATTTCTTTGTCAACCAGAGACGATCAACGGATTCATTAATGTCTATAAAAGCTTGAAATGTCTATTATTCAGCAAAAGATTCATTCATTTGCTTCCCTTTTTTCGCCACTTTATAATATTATATTCATGCTTTTGGTCCGTCTATGGACATGAACGAATTAAGGTTTTAATATAAATTTATTAATACTTTTTGATGGAAAGATAAAATAGGAAAAAAAACAAAAAAATATCAACAAGATTTGGGCAGTTCAGAGTAGTGTGTAAACACTGACTTGATTCACTATTCATTGTCTTGATTTGGTCTTGTTAAATCTCTCTCTGTTGTCTTTTTTAACCATTCTAGCTAATTTACCTTATTACCTTTTTTTGTATCCATACACACGTTTTTTGCTTCCTTTTTGTCAAAATTAATTGTTAATCCAGTTAATTGATGATGATTGTCATTATAGGAGATACCACGATTCATTGTCAAAGCCATAATTGATCAATCATTGATTGTCACCAAGAATCTTTCAATGTTTTATTATATCCACATTGCCTTAATGTTAGAAAAAATTCCCTTCTTTTGAAAGGTAAAATACCTTAAATGAGAAAAAAGAGAGAAAGAAAGAGAGAAAATCGCATTTACCTTGCCTTCTTTTTTACCCAATTCTTTGTGATTATATTTTATATCCAAATTTTAGAGAAATATCTCAATTAAAATAATAAAAATAATATAAACTTACATGTTCACTTTAATTGTTTGGTTTCAACGTTGATTATTTCATTCAAGAGTCGAAACTGATTCCTGACACTTACTTTAAGGTTCACCTTTACACAAATAATAAACGGGAGAAATAATTTAGACAAAATTAGTTTATTAATAGCGTGTAAGATGGAAAACAATTAAAACGTTTATAAAATGTTTTATTAAAATCCTTGTTAATTCCTCTTTCATTGTTTACATTGAGTACCCATTTAGTGTATATATAGCTCGGTAGATGTCGTTGTAGATGGTTCAAAATTGGGTAACTTTAACGGTTTTTTCTGGTTAACTTTTGCGCAACAACAGAGACTATCCAAATTACTGACTTTAACCATCCATAGTTAATCTTAACTTGTTTAGTTGACTGTCAAACTTTGTAATGAAACCATTAAATAGTTTAAACCTTTTATGGTCAAGTTAAATGTACCAAGAAAATAGGAAACCCAAAGAGATGGATAAAATTGTTCTTGTTGACTTGATTACGTGAACTTGCCAAACTATGGTTTCATCAAAATTTGCTTGTGAAATTATTCACACTCACCAAAAATTGACAAGTGGTTAACACTTTGGTTACTTTTTTGTGTTTGCTTTGAAAGAAACAAAAGTTTGCTGGTTTTACCAAAGTGGCTGCTGCAGCTTCCAAAAAGTTAAATATGACTGGGACAAACAGCACTGGAAAAACTTTGGTCACAATGACTTGTAGTGCTGGTTCAGCGGGAACAAGTGCATCAACCGATACCCATTCAAATTGTACTTTTCCTGGTACCGCCATTTCAACCACACCGGAGCCAAAATCAAGTGGAAGTTTACCTTCAGGTTCAAGATCAGAGATTCATTATCCCACAGTTCTTCACAGTTCTTCGGGCATTTATATGACAAAGAAAAAGCGTAAACTGGTTCGCTTCTTTACCGTTGTGGCCTACATGTTTGCTGTATCCCTGGTAGCCATTGTTTTATCTCTGTACTATGTCTTTCTCTGGAATCCATATTTAACCTCATTGCCACTTGGACATAACGATACTTTACCAGGTTCCCATCTTAGCCCAAGAGCGGACAGTTATCGACACAATTTTCAGCCAAACAACAACAAAACCAATACTGTTGTTCATGACAAACCCTCTATTATCACCGTCAGTTTGATGCCTGTTTTATCTATTCAGACAGAAACACCATTGTCATCTTCCCTGTCATCAGCATCTTTAACATCATATTCATCTCCATTTTCATCACATTCTGAGCCTTCTCCGCCTTCATCGTCTTCTATGTCTTCTTCGCCTTCTTCGCCTGCCTCACTCGCTTCGCCTTCTGCTTCCTCCTTTGATCCAGCGTTGGACTTTGCATCTTCGTCATATTCATCGGCGTCATCTTTTTCTCCCTTGTTAGACTTTTCCTCATCAATCCCTTCATCTTCTCCTCCCTATGTCTCCTCATCTCAAGATATCATTTCTTCCTCTATACCCTCACCACCTTCATCTTCCCCATCCTCTTCAGATTTTGTTTCTGCATTTTCCTCTTTCATTCCCTCTTCATCAGATTCATCAGCATCTTCATCAACAATAGACTGGATCATGGACGTTACCAATTCCCCAAACAATTCTCTCAACTGAAAAAGCAAAGACGAAAAGATGACAAGCCAATCCGATACAGTTTCTGGTGCTGAAAGTAGAAGTGTTTTTTTATCCCATTTTTCAATCCGTCATCATCACATGTTAAATTAATAGCAACTTGTTTATCTTTTGAAAGAAGAGCAACTTAATTCATCACTTTTATGCCTTTCTTTTCCAAAAAAAACATTCTCTTCATCATAACAATCTTGTTATACTCATTACGAGCAGACAAAAATTTTATCATCAACATTCAACAAATCAACAAATCTCAAACACAAGGATCTAAAAAGCAAAGTTTCAAGCATCAAGGAAACTGATTAACAAATTGTGAAGCGCATAAAAAACCCAAGTTATTATTAGCTACAATTCCTATTCCAAGAGAGGAATTCCAAGACATAAACAGATGCCCAAAACCTTATTAAACGATAAAGCTTAGTATTATGATAAGACGCAAACTGATATTAGGCCATTATAATACAATCGCAATCCCAAAGCTTTTCATTATAATACCTAAACAAAATGGAGAAAATGTTAAAAAATTTTTTTCGACAAAGAGATGTAAATGTACCAATTTGGAAGTGCAATGATTAAATAAATCATCTATTTACTAACTAACAGTTTGATATTAAAATTTGCAGTTTTTTGACAAACCTGAAACCAAAGTCGGATTAAAGGTTATTTATGTTTGCAAGATTTGCGGTTAAGATTACGATTTAAACAGTAAACAGTTGAAGATGAAATTGCAACATAACTGAATCAAGACTGGGAATCCTGAATAGTAATGCCTAAAAAGAGAAAAAATGTTTTTATATTTCATCCGGATTCTGTTTTTGTTTCAATGTGTGTGTGTTTATAATAACATCAATTACCCAAGAGAGAAGGAACCAGATGAAGAGAAAAATAAACAACATTGGAACCAAAATAGTGGCAATAATAGCGATGATGATAATAATAATGATAACATCGCAAGTTGAAAACAGAGAAGAGCAAAAACTTCTCTTAAATAAACAAAGTTCAACTTTAAATTCAACTTTCATGATAGCAGCTTTGGAATGAAAGGGAAAAGATAACCAGAATTAAAGCTCTACAAGATAAACTTGAAAAAAATGAACCCAAAAATGATTGTCAATAGAAATGGAATGAACAAGTAAAAGGAGAAAAGAAAAGCTGAACAAAAAATAAAATTCGTCTACAATTTAACTCTAAATTTAGCTCTGAATTCCTGAAACTGTGAAGCAAGAACTTTTGTTCAACATTAGACATGAATTTTGAAAACTGAAGAAACAAGTTGACACACATTTAATAACAATGTTTGCAGTTAGTGTAACATTTTTGTCCATTTTTGTTGTCCTTTTTTTTGACTAACATTTGAAGAGTTCAAAGTTGAGCTTGAATGAATAAACAATTGGTTTAGTTGGAATGGTATCATGGAACGAAGGGAAACATTTCCAGCATTTCATCTTGTTCCATGTTTAATGCCACTGTGCATATAAAGTTGTTTTATGTGAGACAAGATTCATTCCCTGTTAAGTTATCCTTCAGGGTATAGACGTTTAAAGGCAGGAAAAGAGGAAAATGGCAAATTTTTTGGGTTACCAAGAAAACATTTTCACTTTCAATTTAACTTTGCTTTAAACAATTCACTTTTCACCATTTGCCTTGTTTAATTTGCTTTTAGCCAAACAAATTTTATTATTATTCAATGATTTTAATGTTCAGGTTCACTCCATCGATCCAAATATTCATGGGAAAACTCAACTCTCAAAGTGACAACATGTCACAACATCTTGAGATTCAGAGAAATGATTTACTTTGCCTTTCCATCTTTAACCATTTCCACTCATCATTTGACCGACATGAAATTGAATTACATCTTGATCGTCTTCTGTCATTGTTAGATGAACAATTAAAGAAATTAGATTTTGATTAAGTCCATCAATTGATTGGCAGTTTATTTCGGAAAACCTTTTGTTCCTAAAACAATTACATTGACAGAGCAAAAGATAATACAAATGTAGTAAAAATATCTCATGTAAAAAGAATCAGAATTTTTCGATTTTTAAGAGTCGAGTGAATCTTGCAATATCAACTACTGACTGGACTTGATCAAGTCGATGTCACATTTTGGTAATTTAATGAGTCCATTTGATTTACTCATCAATTTAGAGTTGATTCGTTTGATTTATTGACTGTCAAGTTTTTACTTGATAAATATTGATACTAAATATTAATCTGATGAAATGTGAAATGTTTGGGGAAAAATGGTGAGAAAAAGTGTTTTTCTGTTTTGTTTGCTTACTTGTCTTAATCTGCAAATTCATGAGCTATTCATTCTTGTTAAATGTTGAAATATTGTATCAACAATAAATGTAATAGACTTGAGTGAGGCAAAAATGAACTCTGTTTTTTTTCAAAATTGAATATCAAATGAAGGATAAAAGTTGTCAACATTTTTTGTTATCAAATTGCTTTTCATTGAATTCATCAGCATTTGCTTTGATTGAAACTGATTGCACAAAAAAAACTGGTTAGCGGTTAAAGTTTTCACACTGAAATTGATTTCACAGATGAAGAGCAAGATTATGTAGCGTGATTGCTTTTGATTACATTGAATCAAATACATGACATGTTACAAGAGAATCGGTTTAAAGTGGTGAAAAAATCAAGTTGCAATTGTTGCCATTTGAATGCATCAATATCTAATTCATCATCAATTCCCAGTTCAACTTTATGTGGTTAAGAAAACATTGCTCAACTGGGACGCATTCATATTCAATCTTACAATATCAAGTTGCTCGGCTATAAGTAATGGACCTTTGAATCGTAAAAGCTCGGAGTTTCTCAAATATTTTCAAATCGACTTCTTACGATTATAATCAATTGAAGATGTTGAAGTGCAAATTGCTAGTATGGAAGCCTTTGAGAGTTTGCCTCCTCACTGATTTGCTTGAAATTTTGCATGCTAATGGAAACCTTCGTTTAATTCATTTTTGTCCGAAGAGACGAACCACTGAAAAAAACTTCAGAGTCATTTTGCTACTGAGCCTTAGGCTCCGAAAATTACATTTAATGGACTAATAAACTTTATTTTTCAAAAATTCATCATTGATTGAAAATTTCTTGAGGCACCGTCATGATGATTGGACTTCGAATGCTCCTTCTAACGTAATAAACATTATCAAGTTGAAGAAGTTGGGCAATTGATGTTAATTATTTGGATGACGAAAACGGTACAGCGGAATATCGCTAATCGGGTCATTTATTCAGAAACTCACATATTGATAAAAAATCAGGGAAACATTACTCGTAATGTTCAATTTCGTTTAACTTACATAGATTCTATAATTTTCTTGTATTGA